TCTCTCCACAAAACCCAAATTTACGTTTGACTGTAGCAAAACGCATTTCTTCCTTTTACCTTTCATTTTAGTCCTTTATTTTATCAAAATATATCTTTTGTATTAATTTTATTTTTTATTTATTTTTTATTTTACCCATTTCCTCTCTCCACAAAACCCAAATTTACGTTTGACTGTAGCAAAACGCATTTCTTCCTTTTACCTTTCATTTTAGTCCTTTATTTTATCAAAATTCTCTCCACAAAACCCAAATTTACGTTTGACTGTAGCAAAACGCATTTCTTCCTTTTACCTTTCATTTTAGTCCTTTATTTTATCAAAATATATCTTTTGTATTAATTTTAGTTTTTATTTATTTTTTATTTTACCCATTTCCTCTCTCCACAAAACCCAAATTTGCGACTGTAGCAAAACGCATTTCTTCCTTTTATCTTTCATTTTAGTCCTTTATTTTATCAAAATATATCTTTTGTATTAATTTTATTTTTTATTTATTTTTTATTGGTATATATTTATATTTAATCTTATATAAAATGTTAATTACTCAAATAATAAAAATATATTTTATTCATTTTTATTTAACATAATTTGCTATATATGAATATGTAATATTATATAAATATTTATTACCCAAATAGTAATTAAAAAAATTATGTATAACAACACGAGATGCTTCATAAGTTCAAACAAAAGGATACAAATTACATAATACAATGAAAAAAGTAACAGTTTTTAAAATGTGAATATATGCGCTACACCATATATGGTCTAGAGTGTAAATTTGCACTAAATCATATATTTTCAAAAGTAACAGTTTTGATTCAATCGGTACATAGATGTATATATCTTCTTCACTTTTGAAATGAAGATGTAGTTAAAATACAAATAAGAAATAAAGATGATCATATTGCACTTCGGAATGCACTAATTGATCATTTATAGGAAGAATTCACCAACTCTGAGACTTGAAAGACTATCTATTTTTACGTGATTGTTGTAATTTTCTATTTTATCTTGTGTGTTATAATATTTAAATTTTTATTTTGCGTGTTGTAATTTCTAATTTTCATGTGTGTTGTAATTTTAAATTTTTCATCTTGTGTGTTGTAATTTTTAATTTTTCATCTTGTGAATTGTAATTTTTAATTTTATTTGTGTGGTGAAATTTTAATTTTTAATGAATATTTATTTCTCCGATTTTATTATGTATAATTAATTTTAATTACAAAAAGTCCAAATTAAATTTAAAATAATAGTGTGGTTTAATTTGTAAAGTTGTAAAATATGTGTGTAGTATTGAAAAGTTATAAAAGTTGGTGTAAAATAGAATATTCTGAGAATATTCTTTTAGGTTTGAGAATGAGTTTTTCGGTTGGAGATGAATTACTGCAAAATGGGTTTGAGTTTGGGTTTTTCGGTTGGAGATGGTCTAATGTGTGAGAAAAAATGGGTGCGGTCCCACACAGATGAAGCACACTAAGATAAGTTTAAGCGCAGTTTCATCTCAAAATCAATTGGTGTTAGGAAGAATAGTCTATTAGACTTATAAATTAGGCATATTTTTTCTATATAAACGATGTGAGACAACTCACGAGTGAATCTTCTAATACGTCACCTCACTTGCAAGTCTTTCATAAGAAACCCAATCCCATATACGGAGTCGGGTGTCCAAGCCCAAGTGAGCCTGGAAAAACGGATTTGTTATCGCGCAGTCTCAATAGAATCGGCTTTGATACCATGTAAGAAACGGGAGGATAATAACGAGCGCGGTCCACGTAGATAGTTGGAGGAGAGTAGTCCATTAGACTTATAAATTAAATTTATTTTTCATATATAAACAATATAAGACAACTCACAAGTGAATATTCTAATCGCTACTTCGATAAAATTTGTTTTATTTATTTACGTACTTTATTATTTTTTCTGGTGTCCCTATAGGAGCTTATAATTAAGATGCAACCCTATATAGGTCACATGCATGGTATATATATTGGTGGGTCATTTCATCACGTTTCTTGCATCAATATAGCAACCTCCACAACTAATGTGTGTGTTTGTATGTGGTTATACTTTTGAGGAATTTTTTATTATTATTTTATTATTATTATTATTTTTATTTTTTTGATAATTTTGGAACATTTTTTCAATGCATATAATTAGTTATTTTTTATGGCTGTGAGCTACTTGCATGGCTCGGTCTCAGAATTGTGGTCTCTGCCGGGAGCATGACCTTAATCCTTTAGTATTATTGTTTTGTTTAGATCACCATGGTTGATGCATCTCCATATCACCCTAGTGGGTGTTGGTTTCTGTAAATCCGAAGATTGTAATTATTCTGAGCTTTATAATATCTATCGTTTCGAGAAAAAAAAAATCAATTTTTTTGGGGATTGGCTGAAAGTGAAAATAAAGTTTAATTTGATCATTATATGACAATGGAAGCATATAATTTTCTGGATTTTTTTTTAATTGATAAAAAGAAAATAATAATAATGATGATAATGGAAGCATATAATTTTATGGATTTATTTAAATTGATAAAAAGAAAATAATAATAATAATAATGATGGATAAGATTTAAGGACTTGTAGATTGTTGGGCAATTAATTGCTATAAATAAATAAATTGTGTATAAACTATATTGTGAATTCCTATATTAATAAGACTATTGGTAGGCAGACCAAATAATTTAGCCACAATTTTTTTTTTCAACCGATATACATACTTTTAAGTTTTAAATTTTAACATTGTATTCTTAAAAAAGCATAAATAAATTATATCTAATATTTTCATAGCGTGTGAAAAGAAATTTATGAATGGATCCACCTAACATTGAAAATTTAAAACGACCCACACAAGAAATTGTATTCATTTTCAAATTTCCATACACAAAATGATGGTTATTAGTTGGAATTTATGAAGAGGGGCTCAATA